AATTTAGCAAAGAAACTCGGCTGCCCTCGCAAGGTATTTATAGGGGCTGAAACTGGGATTACGTTGGGCGTAATTCTCCAATTACGTTGGGCGTAACTCGGATAAGTCCGATGACTCTCCCCTTCGGATATTATCAGATTTTATATTTAAATTAAATATTTTAATTATTTAATAAACTTCAAAAATTCATATCTTTTTCTCATACGAACTCCGTTTTCGACGTTCTTTATATCCCCGCGTAGGTGAGACTACGCTCTACAACTTTCATTTAGACTCCGTCGGTTAATTTTGACTTTATTTTTATTATTTATTTTTAGTAGGCCGGGACAGGAAGACTCCGTTATAATTCATAACTTCTTCATCTGACGTCCGTTTTCGTCTGTCTTTTTATCATTGAACTACTAATAACGAGAACTTCGATTCTCGTTTAGATTGCTTCGACCAAAAATCACTCGATCTCAAATTCGAGTTTCGGGCTGCATACTGTTAAGCTGAAACTTAGAAAAATCATAACTTCCTCATACGAAATCAGATTTGGACGTTCTTTTTATGCACGCTTTAACGTATTCTACGACTTTCATTTAGATCGCTAAGGCCAAATCTCGCTCTATCGTAAATTCACTATTTACGTCGCGCTGTGTCGTGTCGGTTCTGTCGCGAAACTTCGACAGGTCATAACTTCTTCGTTATAACTCGGATTTCGACGTTCTTTATATGTACGGAATCCTTGTAACATATACTACAACTTAGTTAAGATTACTCCTTCTAAATAATCTTCCATAAAAAATTCATTTTTGACGTTTATCGTCTCTAAATTGACTAACCTTAATCTACGGGCGTTACAAGACGGAAGGCGAGGGAAGACAGGGAAGAGTGTAGGAGCAGGTTGATTCCAACATTTGTATTTCAATTTCATAGTTTTAGTGTTTGTAAATCTTATTCATTTTGTTCATTGTTCTTTTTAAGTTTTGAACACCAACTGCTTGAGAAAACTCCTCAACGAAAAATCTGGTCAACATTGTGTTTCTACTTGGTAAACTGTATGATCGATCTCTTCTTTTACACCAAATTACAATTTACCCTTCATAAGTTTTTCATTACAGGATGCACTTGCAACTGCTAAAAAGCTCACTTCAAATCGCAAGGACCAATTGATTAAGGTGCTTCCATTAATTTATTTTTCTTTTTTTTGCATTCGTGTTGTATAATTTCTTTTTTCTTGCAGCTTCATAAATATTTTCTTAATATGAGAGAATATAGTGACAAACTTAAAAGATGTGAAGACCAACTCTAGGTTAGTCTCTCTATATTATTATTGTTTTTTTTACTTAATGCATACAGAAAAACAATATAGTTTTAAATGAGTTATGTTATCGTTTTGTTATCCTGTTTTCATTTGCAGATATAAATAACAATTTTGTTATAGATGTTAGAAATTCTTAATTTTGTTTATTTTTAGACCAAACAATGGAGAAACAATCTGAAGAATTGAGGGACATATGAAGTAGATATGAACATGAGAAGAAAGTTTGGGTGGCTGCAGTCAAGGAACTAGGTATTGAAACCAGACCACTGTCAGCTCTCACTTCAAGCACACCACTGTGTTGACTCAGTACCTTCCTGATCTTAATAGCATGGTTTCTGCAGTTCAAGCATTAGGTGGGTAAATTAGTAAATTCATGATTAAATTTTCACCCTATTGTAAGTTTTAACATTTTTTATCCTTACTTTTAGTTGCATAGTGTGAGCATCTTAAAGTCATATACATCGGAGAACAAATCAAGAGAAGAAAGCTTCATAATCAATTTGATGATACAAAAGGTGTGCAAACGTTTTTTTTTAACAAACATATAAAGTTTCTAACTTGGAGTACATAGAGATACTGTCGTCAAAGCAAAAACGTAATCTTTAGTGATTTTTTTACTTAAGGATAGGAAAAAGACAGCTTAGCTAGGAAAAATGATAGTCACTGCTAGATAAAAAGAAAAAGAGACAAAGGAGTTCAACTTTCATCACATGGCAACTGTCAGGTAGGTAGGTTAGAATCAGGTTCTTTTTTATGTATATTGGCTACTGAATGCACCCTAGATGCTTAATCTTATTGTAGAAATCCTTATGGAATTACATCATAGTTCTTATTTTCTTATATAATTTTAGTGACATTCCTTGATTCATATAGTGTTCCACTTTCTTACTTTCAGTTAATTGCCTATTTTTCGTATAGGGTTGAGGAGGGGTGGCAGAATAAGAATGTGATCATCAAATTTCACAATGCTAAAGGGCGTTCATTTAATCATACAACAAATAGGTTGTCGAGGTAGAGAAGAAAGATGATGCTTATGGCGATCATGAAGAGGAGCAACCATCACAGAAGAGGTAAATAAATGTTTGCATTTCGTTGATTCTTACATACACACTATTGCATCAATGATTTTAATTAAATTTAATTCATGATTATTTTTTATCGACAAGCCATGGAAGTATTGCTATAATAGTAATAAAAAAAATTAAGTCACTATATTGATAAAATAACAATAAATATAAGTTAAATGATGGTTATTGAACATATAGTTGTTACACATGCAATAACCGGGGTTCCTTTGTGCCATTTTTATGATGAAGCCTCTATCAAGGTGCTTATGCTAATAAATTTTGTTTTTCTTAAGGTCTTAAAGACAAGTGGGTAACACAAGTTACATTTTCGGTGATAAAGGTAACACATGTTTCATTGGTTTCAAATTTCCCCAAGCTTATGTTATTTCTCCATATTATCCAAAGGAATTTTGCAAAAAAAAACTCTTACTTGAACATAACTGAACTGACTAATCATCAATGTTGAACTTCATGATATTCGCAACAATAATATGTGCTATTAAGTCTGTCACACTTCATACTGCGAATGCTTATCGGTTTGTTTTGTGCAGGGCTTCCGTATGTGAACAATAAAAATAATAGATGATACCGGTTGTAGAGGCTCTAGATTAGTTTTATGCACTTTGGATACCTAATCTTTGTATGGAAAGAGACCAGAGTAATACACATTGATCTCTGTTTTGTCCAAATGAGGTTCCAGGTGTGACTAATTGTTGATGTCTAGAGGAGGTTGCATCAGAACCCACAATTCAACAAAAGGGACAAAAGGGTATAATTGTAATTTTGATCATAACTGTACCAACCTCTATTTTTTTTCATCTACAATTGTTTGTTGCCATCATTTTGAAAGTGTTGTTAAGAAAATTCTTGACCCATGCGGAGCATGGGCTCCTTTTCTAGTTAGTATTATTTTTTTTAATTGTTTTATTATTATTATTATTATTATTATTATTATTATTATTGTACACTCGAGAGGATATATTTGTAAATTATTGACCCGGTCACATATAAGATATTTAAATGGAAGACTTTTAGAAAGATTGTCCAAAATAATTAGTTAATTATAATATTTATAATAATGACATTGTTTTTTTGGGTTGTCCTCATTACCTATTTGAGCAATTAAAAGACAAAAATTTAGTACAAATTAGTTTATTAAATTGTCATATTTTGATAAATTAATTAGAGATTATTTTGAAATTAATTGAGAATTAATTAATTAGAGGGATTGAATGTTTAATTAATTAAAAGATTTAATTAATTGAAACATTCTAGAACCCTTAAGAGATAGAGGTGGATAAATTTGATAAGGTTTATCTAGAGTTTTTGAGTTACTTTGGGACTAAACAATTGAAGTTTATAAATAGGAAACTATGGATCAAACCCTATATGCTTCTAATCTTAAGAATTTTGTTCTCTTTCTTTCTCTCTCTCTCTCTCTCTCTCTCTCTCTCTCTCTTCTAATGGTGGATGAAAATTAAACCCTTTATGGTTTATAATTTTGAATTTTCCATCTCATCTCCTACAGTTTTGTTGGTTTGTTCTTTTGGTGTTCTTAGGTGTGATATCATTAGCTGGACTCTAGTTTAGGTCATGCCATCCAAGCGAAATGGCAAGAACAAGATCTCTAGCTGCAAAAGAGGTATGTATCTTTTTCTTATTACTCTAGTAGTTGCAATAATAGAATGAAACTTAGATCCTCATAAGTTACAAAAACACATAGGATTTTGTTATGTCTTCTCTTGCCATGATCATCTTTTTAAAATGCCCTATAACATACAATCTCATGATGTTTTCCAAACTATTTGGAATTGAAGTTTTGGGATTGTTTTCCATAATTAAACTCCAAAAAATTGTTTTAAAAATATTTTATTAAAGGTTATTTAAACCACCCGTGTGAGGGGTGTTACTCTCTCTCTCTCTCTCATCACATCATCTTTTTTTTTTTTTTTTTTTTGTAGAAACTCAAAACCACACAAATATGTACTCTTTGAAAATTAAACACACATACAAACACTTTGAAACTCTTATCACTCGTCCCCTCTCATCCAACTAAAACTATTACCACCTTCATCCTATCGTACCGTAGTCATTATGCTCTGCCATTACCTTTCCCGATGAAACCCACCCCTAACGCAACAACCTTTTATGGGAAGACTGAAGAGGTTAAAAAAAGTTGATGAATGTTCTTATTCAGGCTCTGGTGGGTTTTTTTTATTCAAGGTTTGTTTATTGACCGATTCTTTAAATCTCATAAGAAGCAAGTGTGAGATTAAGAGCTTAAAGCGTCAGAAGCTGAAACCCTAATAGACTAGGGATTGAACCAATTAGAGTGAATCGTGAAGTATTAAAGAACACTAAATTGGTTAAATTTGTAAGTTAATCAAACCCCATTAAACACGTGTGAAAAGCACAAAGTTGAAAAAGAATGAAGTCCTGATCTCCTATAAGACTAGAGCAAAGCACAAATCTAAAAAGAAAGAAATTAAGGTTACTTAACACTACACAAATCCATCATCTTTGATACAACACATAGACAGAGAAAAAGAAATTAGGGTTCATGAACCTTCTACAAATTCTTACCGTTGTTCAAATTCATCCTCCCGAACTAATCAAAATTAGATTTTTTATGGATGGTTATTTTAACATAAATGCATGTCATAGTGGTTGCGGTATAAATTTTATCAAAACTTAATGGTTTTTTAGCACAAATGAAAATTAAGTGGTTAAATCGGAAAAAAGACAAAATATAGTGGTTTTTAACCCTATAAAAATATAAAATATGCAAAAAATAATAATAATAAAATAAAATAAAATGTTTTTATAGTTTTTACCAAAACCAAAAATATTTTAATTTTTATACCAACGATACAAATTAAAAGATCTTAAACCCTATCTATACTCTACAGTTTCTTTTTGCAAACCATACAACCTGCAGTTTACTCAAAACAAAATAGAATATTTTTCATAATAAAAAGGATAAATAACTTGTTCTAAATAGGCGTCATCAACAACAGTGTCGATGATGCAGGTTCCAAGCGGTTTTTAGATCTCTGTGAAAATACTTTAAACACACGATGCTGCTTTCCGCCATTCCCAATTGCAACAGCAGGCTGATTTCCCCTACTGTAAACCAGGTCTCTCTCTACAAGTTCATGGTTTTAAGGCTTGGATTATAGCTTCCGATAGCATCACAAATTCGAGTTAATTTTGCAAACAGGAAAAGGGGAATCAACGAGATGAAACGCAATGGGTGAACCCACAACGACAGATAAAGTTTCTGCAAAGATTGACTCCATCATTATTTGCTGCATTCGTAGCCTTATCTCCTATCATAACTCCTCCAGGTAAACATTTATCCACCATTTGTTCGTTTATCCCCTCTAACTTCTTATCTCATCCCGAATAAAAAGTTTTGATCTTAATCCATACCTAATTCTTTCAAGTTTACGAATTGACATACACCCTCTTTCTCGTCAAAACTGCAATATATCAATCGAATTTCCCATTTTTCATGGTGAAAAAGTAATCGATTTTATTAATTAGGGTTCATGAGATTCCCGGATGCTGCTAGACACAACTTTCTTCCAAATTGCTTCGGAGTCACTGCACACACCCAAAGTGCACTATCGATCAAAATCATTAATAATTTTTTACATATAGTTCTATCAAATGATAAGTTTGAGCATAAGTGCATATTCAATTTGACAGCTAAATGTCAAATTTATTTCAATGTCTTAGTAGGATCATATGCTGAAGCAATAGATGTACAACGAGGAGCTTCATTATTTGGCCATGCTTGCATCGGATGTCATGTTGCAGGTGGAAACATAATACAACCAGTGAGTTTAATTCCACAAACAATCGATCAATATTAGCTCTCATAGCAAAATTTAGTAAAGTCCTACCCAACTTATCTCTTCTCATACTCCCATTTTTTCATCTTCTTCCAGGGAGCAACTCTCTTTCTAAAAGACCTACAAAGGTACCCAAATTCACATGAGGAATTTAATTTCCTTATTTAGTAAATGATAATGTTAATGTACAGAAATGGAGTTGATACAGAAGAGGAAATATACAACATAACATATTATGGAAAGGGAAGAATGCCTGTAAGTTTGGTCTTTAAAAAAATAGAGTAAGCATGTTTCACTGAATATATTGTGTGCTGACGTGGCATGATGGGTGCAGGGGTTTGGAGAGATGTGTACACCAAGGGGTCAATGCACATTTGGAGCTCGTCTAAAAGAAGATGAAATAAAACTTTTGGCTAATTTTGTGAAGTCACAAGCTGATCAAGGATGGTTAAACATAGGAAATGGTGGAGATTGATCCATCTTGCCATGTAATGTTGAAATCAGTACCATATGTAGCATCATGTTCATACTATTCTTAATACTAGATTATAACCGCGTTAAACGTTGGGAAACGCATAAAAAAACATACAACCGTCTATAAATATTGCATAATAATAAAAAAAAATTATGGCTATTGGTATTTATTGAAATGTGTAGAAGATACACTGAAATTGATAAATCTATATAATCGTTGAAGGACTTCTTTGTAAACAATATTTTTTGTTTTATTAGTTGAAGAACTTTCGCCTTCACATATGAGTACATTCAAACATTTTTTACTTGTGATACGGATACAACTATATATAACTGACCATGAGTGAAAACGAGTCTACGTAAGTATAATCCAACATCTGTCCTTAACTTTTGTTAATGGTCATAGCGAAACAAACAGTTATGGGGAATTGTCTCTGCTGAAAACGGAATGAAATTTTTTTATCAGACGGGGTTAACTTCATACGAGGTATATACGTAGTCTCATTGAAAAATTTGTCCGATATGATTTGGGCTTCGATGACGTGTCTTCTAATCCTTACGATATGTAATCTAGTACCATTGCATAGTCCTTTGGTTTGGTCGATATTACCAAGTAACATGACCGGAACACCTTTTTTAGTATAAGTTTATGGCTGGGAATCCAGAAGCCTTAAAACCATTCCACACATCTGGAGAGTATACTGATTCCTCAAAAGAATCTTGTGCCTCAGTCTCACATAAAAAATCTGAACTCAGATACGTTTTCCCTTCATCTTTCATCAATTCTAACATATAGTCATTGATAGCATCGACTTCTTCATTTGTAGGGACCAAAATAGATTTATCTTGAAAATACGATAGATCATCAAGATGGTTCTAAAAGGATGAATAAATAGTGGATATAATTGAACGAATATGGTCACCTGTAGAGGGAACGATAACATCTTCTGGAAATTCAACTTCAACTTCACCATCATTAGGGCCACCAATAGTACCTACACCAATTTCAAGAATCCATTCTACAAATGATTTTGTCTCTTCGAAACATTGTTTGGACAGCCGACCTAAAGCCTCATATTTACATTCAAACGTGAAACTGTACATTCACGCCATAATCTTAATGAATGCAATGATGCCCAGACATTCAACGATTTCCTCTTTGTATTGCTATAAGAATCTGTCGAAAGTCACCTCCAAACACAATGGTCTTGCCTCCAAACGGTTTATTCTTGTCCGATGAAAGGATAACGTCTCTAAGTGTCCTATCAACTGCTTCAAAACAATGACGGTGCATCATCAGGGCTTCATCCCATATGATAAGTCTAGCTTTATTCAACAATTCAACTACATCATTATCTGCTGTAATAGAACAAAATGAATCCTCATTCAAGTTGATCGGTATATGAAATCTTGAATGCGTTGTCCTACCACCAGAGAGTAAGAGTGCTGCAATTTCGCTTGAAGCAACGTTGGTAACAATTTCACCTTTAGATCTAATAGCAGCAGACAGTGTCTTCCAAGCAAATGTTTTTCCTGTTCCTCCATAGCCATACAGGAAAAAGGCACCGCCTTTTTTGTTGTTAATAGCATTGATAATTATATCATAAACCTTTTTTTGCTCGACATTTAATTTGGAATGCAGTTGTTGATGTTCGACTTCAAGACATGACAGATCATAATTAAGCTCATCTTGAATTAACATATTTCAAGAATCTTGAATATATTTGTGATCAGGTAACAGCATATTGGGTATTTACTTCATCAGTCCACAATTCAATAAAGATTTCTCAATGTATGACAGCGTTAAGTGAAAAATTGCTTCCGGTTTTAGCTTCAAGCCTGAAAAGAAAAAAAATATGAAATTATTTATTTTTAATATCAATTAATTTTAGAACATTTTTTGTGTAAATAAGTTAGATTATTTGAAAATGTACCTGTTACGTCGATTTCTTGTTCACAAATGTGAACGACATCATCAGTAAAGACAATTATAGGTCTCTTTAATAACATGATGAGGTCGGGATAGACTATCCGATGTAATCAACATAACAAATAGAGACATGCAGAATGAAGCAGTGGCCCAATGATGTGTTTCGTGTATAGAAAATATGTACTATATATCATCGTCTAATAGACCAAGAGCATAGCAAGCATCTTGGTAAGATTCATAAACGGTCCAGTTAACTATCATGATATCTTCATAGCAAGTAGGACCCTTTACTTTGTTGAGTAAAATACGTAAGTAATAAACATCACCAGACTTGGGAGACACATGATTAATTCTATCAAGTGACTTTGTCTTTGTTTTCTTCTTGTCCATACTTTATCTGATTTATTCCAAACATATTGACTTGGGAATTCAACATATGATAACTTTCGCGCCTTTCATCATAGTTGTTGCATTCCATCCAAGCCAAAAATTGAGAAGCAACGATAGTTGGTTTAGAAACAACATTAGTAACAGATTGGGATGGTTTAAACACAACAGGTTGTTTGTCTTGAAGGTGAAACGACAACCTTTTCAATAGGAGGTGTTCTAGAATGAATATCATACCCAAAAAGTCTCCAGCATGCCTCACAAGATGAAATATAACGACAATTGTAAAAGTCAACAATTTCATCACAATCGTTATTTTCTTTATGTTGCTTTTTTTTATTCTCGGCGTCATAAAAAGAGGTTGTGATCATGTCTGTTCTTTTGTTAATACACTTAAAAAGAACTTTATTGATCCAAGTTGATTATACCACTCAAGATTCATATGCAACTGGTATTGCTTCAAAAATATCTTATTATATGGAACAACATATCTAAAAAAGGAAAGAAACATGTCATAAATAACATTAAAATCATATTATTTTTAAAACAGAGGAAAAACAAATAAACATATATAATAATTATAATTTTTATATTATATAAAATATTTAAAATGATATAATATAAAGACAAAATCACAAAAATGGTTGGTATGGTATGCATTTTTTTCGAGGTTTAGTCTAAACCTCGACTTTTTGGCTTCATGGTTCTTTTGGCCATGTTTGTACGTAGATTTGGTCATTGTAAAATTGAAATGACTAAATTACCCTTATTAGATTTATTTTCCATTTTTTTCTATAATTATTTTTATATATTAAACAAAAATAATGCTATTATATAATTCTGGTTCTAATGTATATCAAAAAAGTTCATTTCACACTAAAACCCAAACAAAGTAATATGTTTAGAACACATTTTTAGTGTTATATTTATAGAATAACAACCTATCTCGGTTTTATACTTAACTTTAGTTTAGGAAATATATATTCTTGTATATTGAACTACAACATATTCTAATTTTATTTATTTTCAATAATATATTTATATTATTTTGTGTAAGAAATTACGATACGCTTAGATCTCATCATTTAAAAACATACATCTAAAATAAATAACATAAATACGTTCTTAAAATAGAAACTGAGATAAAATATATTAGTATTTTATATAATGTAATCTTTTATTATAAGTCTACAAATAATATATACAAGACAAAACTGCATTTGGTCCCTGTCGTTTTGGTTTTGGTCCCTGAGAATTTTAAAATTACTTAGAAAGACTATTTTGCTCTTCCATTTCGTTTATTCCATTTTTTTATGTATATCAGTAATTCAATAGTTGAAAAAAAAGCAAAAAGAAAATA